AGAAAAGGTCTTTAAAATGTAAAATAACCATCCTGAGATGCAAGTTGGCAGTTAATACCCATTTACCACTGTGCGAGTCAGCCGTTTCTTAATTTTATTACTTTAACTTAGTTTTAATTATTCCCCTTGTTCTAAAATGGTCCTATAATCTAAAAGTGGAGTGAGAGGTGTAATCCATTTGAACACCACTTGGTCACGGCAACCTTTTACTTTTAAAATAGTCTGCTTCATTCTAGGTACATTAATATTGATATTCCTCACTGGCATCATGTATTGCATCCCCTTTGACAATAAAGAGAAGAGAAAAAAAGGGAGGGGTTTTAAAGCCAAATGACAACTAAGTAAGGGATGGTGCAGAGAGTGCGTGTAACTCAACTGAGACAGTTGGTGCACTTACAGTGCATCAGTGTTTTACATGATTTGCTGCTGTCAGACAGCATCGCCTTAAACTTCCCTCACTGACAATAGGCCTTCTCCACTGTCACACTGACTAGCTCGCCTTGAGTGATTGGTAGTGACAGAAACTGGAATGGACTTCAAGTGACTTTTGGCCCCCAACACACCAAACCAACCGTAAAGAAGTGCCATCAACAAAGATAGACAGGTGCATCATATTTGTCCGTGTCCTTTGTCTTAAAAACATTTTGGAAAAAGTAAAGACGAGATGAACTAGCCAACCATTTTAATGTCACAGCGGATCTGTTGTCTATTGCTGTCTATTGTTTTGATTCATTGTTTCGTTAACTTTTCCAAGTAGAAATGTGAGGATTTCTGCTTTCCCAGGTCTAAAATGAATTAGGGTTAGGGTTAGGATGAGGGTTAGGGTAAGTGAAATGATTATCTTTGGATTTCGGACTGTTGGTCAGACAAAACAAACTATTTGAAAATGTCACTGTGTGCTCTAGGAAACTGTAACAAGTATGTATTATTATTTTCTATCATTTTGTAAACCAACCAATGAATATAGAAAATAATCGGCAGATTAAATCGATAATGAAAACACTCATTAGTTGCAGTCCTAATTTTGACAAGCAGATAACGACACTCATTACACAGCAGTAAAATGAATTTATAAAATATTTAAGGAGTTCGGTTATTGTCTCATAAATAAGAATATCATGTAAAAAATTATTAGGACCTAGTCCACTCAATAGGTGCAACGTATGTTGCAACAGCAGAACGTATGTGTTGCTCCTAATTATTGTTGTCAAGAAATGGCTACACACAGACGCACCCTAAAGACAACATGCTCCATGTGTCATGATGGAGGAACATAGAAAGCTGACATGTTTATGGTACAGGGTGTATGGATGCCGTGGTGTGCGGGGAATGAGTGAAGACGAAATTAAAACAACCATCATCAGAGCTGTAAAACCTGCCCAGCTGCAGTCTTTGATCCTCCCCTCAAGCTCTTCTGCCTAATTCCAACACCTGCACACACCAGCAGAGTCAGATGCAGAGCTACATGCTCAGCCCCACAGCTCAGACTCGCCATGCCTGGCCACACATAGCTCACAAAGAAACTCCATTTCCTTATCAGCTGTAGGCAAAAAAACAAAAAACAGGCTTAACAGATTTGTTTGTTCCCAGCTCTAAAGTAATGGCTTCATTTTAATCAATGAGCAGTGACGTACTGGAATGCAGTCGGGGTGGTCATCACTTGTGGTTATACCTTACCTTTCAAAGTTAATGAATGGAGAGAATTAATCAATACCTGCCGAGGGCTTAACAGACGTGTCTGTTACGTGTCATTTACTTTAAAGGTTCATCATGGTGATGTCATGTTGTCAGTTCTCAGACTGCGTGTGCCCGACGGCAAACCTCCTGAAGTCAGTGTCTAAAGCAAGCAACTTAATTAGAGCTGCAACTAACGATTACTTTGATTATCGGTTAATCTGTTGATTTTTTCAAATAATCAATGAATTAGTTTATAAAATGTCAGAAAATGGTGAAAATGTTATATTTTATGCAACAACCAGTTCAAAAAGGAGACCAGAAAACATTCACATTTGATAAACCAGAGAAGTTTGAAATTGTTCCTTTAAAAAATGACCTAAATTGCTAAATCGATTATTCAAATTGTTGCCAATTAATCTTCTGTCAATCGACTAATCAATTAATCCCCTAACTGCTGCAGCACAGAGGCCAGAGCAGCACAACCAGGGTACTCCTGATGATTATTTATCTAAATTCATGTGCTCAGTCTTTCTGCTTTTCATTCACAAACAGGACCCACCTCAAGTAGAGGAATAATATGCTTGCTCTTTGGCAATGAATAGGTATCCGTCTCATGAATTTCTGTTTGATACTTCAAACTGACTTTTTCATTTGGTGCCAGCAGGCCAACATGTGCAAATTACGCCAAAAGGTACAGATTAGATGCCTTAGGAGCACAGGATGGTTTCTATGGTTATTTCTACAGAACTCATACCGTGTCAGGTCAGGCTTTTTTTGGCTTCCATCTCCTTGGCGATGTGGTGGGTCGCAACTGGGTTATTTTAACCCACTTTTTCTCCAGCACAAAAATGAATGCCAGATCAAGGATTTAACTTTAAGGTTTAATAAGAAGAATACCTGCTTAGAGTGAAAACCAGAAACATCTGTTTTTACTTGAGTCCATGTTTCAGATTTGAGAGTTCATGGCTTTATTCAGCATTTATCCTGCTAACTTTATTAAGACTGCTTCATTAGATAGGCCTCTGCCCTACCATTTTTCCATCTTAAATTCTGTGTCAAGCTAGCTCTGGTCAGACACAATAGTTTCCCTCCCTCAAAATATCATAAAATGGTTTTAAGTAAGTTGCTGAGATCAGCCAAACCACACAGCTCCTCGTCTCCATTTGTGCAAGAACACGGGTGTAATTGCTCTGTCTGGATTCCTCACTGTCCATGGGCAATACATAGTTTAAGGATTTAAGTGTGTAGGATTACTCATTAGTCTGCATGCTGTTATTCAGAGCACAAATTACATTCCTGGTCATGCCCAGTAAGACCATGTGCTGTAAAACAGAAAAGTGGCGAGACTATGAAATTCAACAGCTGCACGAAGAGCCGCTTGTCGTCAATCTATTAGTCTTTGTATTTATTTGTTGTTACCCTCACATTCCTATGTTATAGTTTCTATGTAAACTTTATTTACTGCTGTGTCCCACCTACTGTAATTAAAGGCCTAACATATTATATTGTACAAGCTGTAAATTACAGCTCTACTATAGAAATGCAATTTCTGTGAAAACTAGTTAGGAGAAACAGATGATTCAAAAACGTTGTTTAATGTCACTGAAAATAAAATTATATTTGAAGTAGATGAAGAGTGATCATCAGTGAGTAGATCATCAACATTTGCTGGGTTTCCCCGTCTATCCAGTTTGTCAAAGTTACAAAGTTCAATACACCCACCAAAACAGATACTCATTGCTCAAAATGTGCTGGGAACCAGCCAGAAGAGCACTTTTGTTATAGTATTAAAATTACCTGTACCTCTCCTATCAGGTTAAGTGACTGTTGAACACTTAAGCACAATAAGATTCGCCTTTTGGAGAGACAAAAAAAAAAAAGAAAGAAAAGGAAATCCTACTGAAGACTACACTAATTTCAGTCAGAGATGTGATAATGGTAAAAGATGACTTGGCTAATTAGTTTTCACTGAGGTCAAACAGAAAGTCATAATAGATGAAGACCTCACTGAAGCATACAGGAAATGTTTATCCGTGCATCGCCCACACCTACTGGGCCTGGGAAGCTATGGGCATAATAAGATCTTAATAATTTAAACCTCCCTTAAGACGGAAGTGACAATTGACTGAAAACCTATTTCTCCTTAACTCCTGCATATTTACAGTATTTTGGCTTGTGGCTCCACACAAAGGCTGGTTACATATACATACACACACATACACACACACACACACCTAATTGGAAGATTTTTGGATGGAGTCTGTTAAAGATACTGAATGTGTTGTATGGGGGAATTGTAGCTGTTTTGATCTGGTTGCTGTCAATTTGATAAGATTTTTTGATGCATGTCTGAACTGTATGATTTTTAAACAGAGAAATGACGTGCGGCGCCATTTTGGTGCCAGGTCATCCAGGTTTTAGTGCACACCCACAGCTCAACTAAAGGTCACCTCGCTCTTCCAAAGTTAACACACAACCAACTCGCTCTCTCTGCTGAGTTTACAGCCACGTCTCTCCATCCACCGTTCCACAGAAATCTGGCAAATAATTTGAGGGGTTTTTTGCGATATAAAAAGGTATTTCCTCATTATCATGGGGAAATAGCTTTAAACATGCTACCTATCATTCAGTGTTTTGTCCACTATTTATTCAATTGCCCAATGTGCTTCTTCTTGACTGTCAACACTAAAAAGCACCGTGTATGTGGGTTTGTGAAAGTTATTAGAATTTTGTCTAGCCTTTGTTTGTTTCAGTTATTTTCAGATCGGTCCCCAGCTTCACACTGTGGCTTCAGATTATTTAAACTATTTAAACTATTTAGATTATTATAACCAGTTCAACAACAAGCAAAAAACCAGGATGGAATAATCTTTTCCTGTAACATTTATGTTTGAGCAGTACAAAACCATCCTGCTTCTTTCAACTCCACTGTCAAAAAACACTGTATATGCAACATTAGGCCACATACTAATAACTTATCAGGGAAATAATATTTGTAATTATTAATACATATGAAAGATTCTAGTGTTTTATCTTTGGATGGAAAAAATGGAAAACAAGAAACAGACGGCAAAAGAGAAGCCAACAAGAAACCCCAATATAATGAACTTAAAGAATACAGTCACATATTTCACACACAGCAAGGGCACACAGCGTGTAATAGCAGCAAGCTCACACGCCTTTATGCAACCTTTCAGGAGGTGGAAGACATTTGCATAGTCAAACTATTTGGTTTTACTTCTACATACGGCCCTCGTTTCACAAGACCTCAATCTAAAGATTATATCAGTGCATATACAGGAAAAAACAAGCTTGTTACTTACATGTCCGTGGTTGACAAACCCATGTTTGCTGGCAATTAGATCTGCTTCCTCCTGACCTCCAGGTATGTGAACAGCCCATGTGTTGGTGTAGACCTTCTGACCCAGCACTGGTCCCAGCCCAGAAACCAGCAAGACCAACAGAGCGCTAAAAAGCAACTCCAGCAGTCTGAGCCTGCGGCCTACAGAGGGAGATGGAGGGCCAGAAGCCATGGAGATCTCCTAGTGCAGCACAGTCTCTGAGCACAGCGCCTCTCTGACAGGCCGGGGCTGTCCACGGTACATGCGGGGTGCACAGAGACACACAAAGAAGGGGACAGTCACAGCTCACCTGATGGGAAACAAAAGAAGAGAAGGGAAAAAACTCAAGTTTACAGATCTACAAAGTTTAGAAAGCCTTGAATTACTCCATGTGATCCACCGTGTGATCCACCATGTGATCCACCATGACCATAAAACTCTAACACAATAGAAGACTGTATACAATACACATGTCAAGAGCCACAGGGAAACTATTGGTGTTAGAGAACAGAAACAGGAATAGAGGAATAAACTCTGTGAGAAAGTCCAGATTTTCATATGTACTGTAGCTGAACACAGAAGTTTTAAAGTTAAGACCAAACAAATTAAATAATATATTAATCTGTTTTGTCCATGAGGAAGCACGGCTGTTTTGACCAGGCGAACTACAGCCCAGCTAAGTCCAGGGGTTTGATGATCCCACAGGAAGCAGCGAGCAGGACGTCAAGGCCAGACCTGATGTTGTGGTCAGACACACAGCAGCATATTTTGGCTTTTACACTCCCACGGGAGGATATGGTAGATGAAGCTTGCGAAAGGAAAATGCTTAGGTATACTGGGTTGGCAGCAGAGGTGGAGAAGTGTGGTTGGAAAGCAAGACTACGCCCTGGATGCTGGGGGATCACAGCAGAGTCTCACTACGAGGTAAAGTAGCCACTCGAGGGTGGAGTTTTAAATGCCTGAGGCAGCAGTGGCAGCCGCTGAATGGCTGTGGCCAAGGAGAGAACATACACACCTAAAGTGTCAGAGAAAAATTACTACAGCACACATTTACAATATACTGATTTGAGTGCGAGGGAATTTCTTTGTAGTATCCTGACTGATATTTTATCACCAAGCCATTAGAAAACACAAACATCTAAAATCACTATCTTAAAGCAAAGCAATATATCATAGAATAGTATAGCTACAGTAGCCAGGCTGAGCAGAGACAAAGCTGAGCTCAGGGTGTAATTGTTTGCTGATACAATTTTGCCGCTAAACTGTTGTTTTCGAGCCAGAAGTGTCAGCTGCGCCTTTAGTCTCTTGAGACCATTATCCAAAGTGCTAACTCTATTGTAACCCAGAGTTGACAGGACTGCACTGAATACAGTGCTCCTATTCTGTGTTTCCTTCTGTATGCAGTCACATTTGTTCCGCTGATACAAGTCTACTATGGGACCGGGTGTCTGGTCTCTTTGCAGGTGTTACAGTCGTCTATAATCACCAACGCAGAGAGGTGGTGATTACGAATGAACAAAATACTCTAAATGTAACTCACTTTGCCATTGTGCCACACTCCAAATGAGAAAACAAGCTTCTCAAAATGTCCCTGGACACCTAGTTGCGAAGCAAGAATGATGTGTTTAGAGGTGGCTGTGACTGCTGTGCACTAAAATAGTCATTTAGTATACTATTACCGAGACATTTTACTTGGATTGCCTTTCACCAATCCACTTTTCAATACCAATTCAAGCCAGTGGATAAAGCACAACATATAAAGATAAAGAACATTTCTTATTTTTCAACAGAATTTCAATATTACAATGATATAACATTTAATTTATAATTGAATATATTACTAATAATTGTGTATTATTATTATTATTATTATTATTATAATACTGACTTTCTTGCCTTTACCAAGACTTTATTAGATACTGTCCAGTCTCTCATTGTCTTTATATTGTAAATAAAATACATGTACATATACAACATAATACAATCCAATACAACAGCCCTGCCATAACATCTACCTTTACAAAGCTCATAGTTTTCAGTTTTTGCTGACAATGTTTCGGTGATAGATCTTCATCTGCCATTCATTCATTTTCTGTATAAATTGTATTAACAGAAGAATTACTCTTGCAACTGTAAACATTCCTCTGGTGGATAATTTTCCCCCTCTGGCTGGTTACTCTCCCTTGATAATATCATTTCCTCTTTTGCATACAGTGTCAAAACAAATACAGTTACTGTAGATCCACTCCCACTTGTAGTAATGCCGTTTATCATTTATGATGCTGTTTGGCAATGTTGCAGAGAACATGTTTGGTCGATGGCAGTTCAAGTCAGTACTTAAATCCCTTGTAGCCTCTGCTATTACCTGATGCATGTGTGGAACTGATGGAAGTGTTACGTGGCATGAGGTGGAAAAGCACAATTTAAAACTGCTGAAAAGACTTGATCACCAGTGTGCCTTTAACAGCAGTATCCTGAGACATGACAAGTTAATGTCTAAAGGGTTAAGATAGACTTGTTTCAGTGTGGTGTGAAGCAACAGGTGACTGCATCATTAGCAACAGACAGCGAGCTTACGGGTCAGCCTGGCTGTGAGTTGGTACGACAAGCTGTTAATCCATGGCAGGAATTTAACAGTAGATTTTCATTTTATAAATAAATACCTGGATAAGACAGAGACACAACTATACATACATATATAAAACAAACATATGAAACCACGCAGAACAAATCAGGTGCCCCAAGTGTGTCTCAAAGTAGAACTGTTTTTAAACGTGCCAACCTTCAGTAACACCCAAATCCCTCAACCTGTTTAATTCTTCCTTCCTGCTCCGTTAAGCCTATTTTATAAACACGCAAAAATCACCCTAAACTAAGTAGCTAGGATCCACACCCAACATTAATTACATGTTTACTTTTTGTATCTCAGTTCCTACTGAAATTGAAGACAAACAAGAACGGCTTCCTGAGAAAGGCTTAAAAGTGAAGCCTGGCTGTTTAAGCCAATATTTATTTATTGTATTTATCAGATTTGAATTAATCAAAATCCAAAAATTCTGCATACAATGAAAATCAGCTAACAAGAAAGATAGGGAAAGAAAGAGGTAAATCTGGTAGCATAACTCACTCAACTTATCTCTGTCCTTGATGCAACAGGTAAATACTGTGAATGTTTCCAAACCTCTGTTTGATTTCCAGACACACACCGACTTTAAGTACAGACGTCCTGTGACCTCATCTGGGGGCTCAACCATTCAGTTTCTTTAACGTCACTGTGAAAACCACACGCCATGTTCTAACAACTGCCCAACGAATTTACTGTTCGCGAGGGACAAAGGAGGAGCCGACCGTCGCGCTGTGAGTGGTCTTTAGTGTTACCACAGTAAATGATACCATATGTCAGGTTGTGATAACAGAAAAAACACCAAATTATAATTAGCCATGTGTCATTAAACCCAAAGGATAATACCAGCCTCATTACCAAACTCATCAGGACGTTTTAAAAAGGAAACAGTTTACACCTCATCAGTTTATTATTTACATTTTAATGAGATTCAAATGAACTAAAATGTGTTAGGCCTATATGACCCTTTTCTCACACTGAAATATCTTTTAATGCCAGTTCCCACATTGTGACACACATGAAACAAATATCTGTGCTCCGACAGCCCACAGAGTGATTGGGAAATAACACGCTGTGTGTGTGTGTGTGTGTGTGTGTGTGTGTGTGTGTGTGTGTGTGTGTGTGTGTCAATAATAATATTGACATCATTAGGTTCATTTATAACTAAGCCACAAACAACACAAATTAATTTAAATAGAAATCACATTGGGTTTGCTGCTAAATCGAATACTTTTCTGTTAAAGTACAGCAAATAACTTGTATGAGCCAACACTTAACCAAACCTCTGTTTCATAAAACATGGTTTTTATGGTAATTACCAGCAGTAATCCGACATTCTAACCATTATCACAAGGACTATGCTTTAAACCTTGTGTTTGTTTGGTTTTTTGGTTTCCCCAATTTGCTTTTACATGTTTGCCTTGTTAACCCGTCGAATCAGAGCTTGAGGTTGCTGCGTTATCTGAATATGCATTTAAATAAATAACATTTGCATCGGTAAATCTGCATCGCAGCAATGGGGCTTACTCCAAAAGTAAAGATTAGGATGTAAAAGCAAATGTTTTTAATCTTAACCACGTTGCTTGGCTATTCCTTGTTTAAAACACAGTGCATGAAATGGAATTAGAAACAAGCCTGTAGCATATAATCAGATTATTCCGCTATTTGCCGTTGTTATGAGTATATTTATTTTAAACTCAAGTGATTAATATTGTGTGCAGATTTATGTTCTAATGTTTTCAAAGAAGACAGTTACAGCATGTATGCAAACAGAAGCACAAGCACAGCTGAATTTTCATATTTGCACAACTCTGGATGACGCAAAGCTTTTCACAACCAGCTGAATAACACAGAGAAAACAGGAATCATGGCATTTAAACAAGTCTACTTCTGCTTATGAATTAGATTCACATGTTATTATTTTAAATATCTTTTAAAAACAGTGGTACGGTGAGAGCTTAGGGGCCTCTGCTGAAAGTCCACAGGTGCTCAAAGGGGAAAAAAACAGGAAACAAAATGGTGGAAATGTACACCTCTGGAGAGTAAGCTTTACAAATCCAGATCCTTGAACAATTGTGAGTATAAAAGCCTTTCTTAGTTGAAACATGAAGGTGTTTTTATTCTTCTCAGTATCCCTGACACCTTCCTTTGCCACATTGTTTGGCCTCCTGAATGAAGGCTTTTCATAACAAGAGCTGATTTCTATCCTACGGTGTAGGTTTTCACCATTTTGCTTTGTTTGTACCCCTGCTACTTAGTTTCAGTCATTTTAAAGTACGCAACCAGACACAACTGTGGTTCTTCACAAAGTACAGAGTGATCATCTTTGAGAGTAAGCTTCATATTTGTAATGGTTATTTTATTGTAAAGCCCATTTGGAGTTTAATGGCTTGACTTTCAGCTAGCCCAATTAGAGTGCCTGAAAACAAAGACTAAACCTCTGCTGTCTGTCCTGTTTTTCCCTGGTACATTTGTTTTGCCCAAGCGTTTGTCATCCATCTACTTCTTCAGACTTCCTGCAGCAATGTCGGCACTCAAACACTTCCACAATAGATCAGTTTTTCCTACATTTCATTAGACATTGTATCACTGTGTACAAGCAAGGAGTCTGACACGTGTGTGTTTGGTCTGGTTTTCATTTGGTAAATGTAACTGCATGCAAGGGGCTCGACAGCCTTGTTTATCCATAATGATCAGCGGCTCAATACTGCCTCACCGGAGAGGTACAATTACAGTGTCCTGGAAGCACAAACAACAGAAGGAGGTCAGTTCCCATAATGAAGCACCCTTATTTCTATGCAATTTCTACTGTGACAGTAAACAGCTACAGCTCGGTTACACTTAACACTGAAATTAATCCTCCCAAAAGATGGTTGATTTGTTAGTATTCACACCAGTCAAGATTAGATTTCATCTGATAAAAGAGTATACAAGAGTCTAATGTAGACCGCAGCAGGTCAGCCCTGTCTTATCCCTACAACAGCCAGCTGGGTTTGTCTGTATTGATTATTTCTGATGTCAAAGTTCAGTCCTAAAGCAACAGAAAAAGGGAGTAGGGGGCCAAAGCGTACAAAAACAAAAGTTTCCTGCATGTGTGAACAGCAACACGTACAGCAGAGATTGACTGCAGCAACGTTACAGTTCAGGAAGGAGGAAAAACTTCTCTCTCTCTCTCTCTCTCTCTCTCTCTCTCTCTCTCTCTCTCTCTCTCTCTGGCCTGTTAACACTTCAATGTTTATGAGCCAAAGTTAAGAGGTTTAAGTATATCAGCTGATAGGAGTAACGCTGCGAGTACGCGGCCGGTTGACTCACCTCACGCGTTTATCAAAGTCCGTGACAACAACATGCAGTCACAGTTTGTCTCCGGGGGGCTGGAGCTGATCCCGATGAGGACTCCTGCGCCTGACAAATATGTCTGAAACTGTACCGTGATTAACGCCAACTTGACACCGCGGTAGGCTGTGACCTGCTCCGTCTCACAGGTGCCTCCCCCTTTTCTTTTTTTTTTTTTTTTAACTCTCCTCTCATCCAACCCTGACGAACATTACCGACCTCCACTAGCTCACACTGTACCACACATACCGACCCAACACCACATTTTTCCCTTTTTTTTCCCTAAGCAGGAACAACCACAGAAACCGGACGCGGCGCAGTCGACGTCACCTCGGCATGTGTGAGTGAGATCTCCCCTCCTCTTCTTCTTCTTCTTCTTCTTCTTCTTCTTCTTGTTGTTTTATATTTAACGACCCGACACACACCAACTGACAGCAACCGGCGATCAATAAGACAACACGCCGTCCTGTGACAGGGTCCCGGTGGTAGCAGAGCCGAGGAACACGGCAAAACTCGGCGACCACGCAGCCCAAACAAGTAAAAAAAATATATATAAAAGAGAATACAAGCGAGAGCAGACGGGAAACTTACAATCGGCTCAACTTACCAGCTCCCTTTTACATCCTGCTCGACCCGGCTGCTTGTTGTCTCTCACCGGGGTGTTACAAGCGACGACAGCACGGCGAAGCGACTGAAAAATTGATAACAGCGAATTGCTGGTTATAAATAGTCATGATACCCCTCTGGTGTACCGCTGAGTACAAGCCCCAGGAAATACGTCACGGCCGCGGACAGAGCGGAGACGTTAGAGCAACACCTACTTACCGCCCAGCAGCGCTGCGACAGCGACACCTGCTGGCCGCAGGCTGCACTGCACCCTGACCGGTACTGAGGCCAGACGAGCTGTTTATTCCCAGATGGGAAAAAAAATTATTTTTATATTAAAAAAAAAAACACTTCATTAATGGCCAGTATAATGCCGACTGCACGCCAAGAAGCGTCATCTTGATTAAAGAAAATTGTTGTTGCTAGTACAGATAAAGGTTGTTATGGTTCACTGATAATTAAATTAAAAAGTAGGTGTGAAAAATATTTTTTTAGTTGACTGACATAGAAATAAAAACTAGATGTTGGAAACACATGAAAATGAACTAGAACGATATTTTGTACTAAAATGAAAATGAAAAGAAATGAACATTTTTAAAAATCAGGAAATGTCTTCAGTTTTAGTATGTCAGTTTGGTAAGATTTGTCAACAATACAAGCATGAGGAGGCATTGGTGTGTGTGTTTATTGAGACTGGGATCCATTGACTTCTCAAAGTGTTGTAATACCTAATTATTAACTTCTTAAATTATGCCCCTGACAATTAACCCCCATATTGTAATTAACAAAAACTGAAAAGCGAAATAAAAATAAAACTTACTGAAAAATACAAAACTATAATAACTCTGGTACAGACACAATAAATGTCTAAAACATCTCCCTCGGAGCCAGATTACCTGTTTTGGTACTGGCAACCTATTGACCTTCGGACATTCCCTCTGCCCACTGCGCAGGGTGGATGTCACCTCCAAGTTTTCACTAAGCTGTTAGATTTTAGATTTAGATTTGTTTTCACAGCCAGTACTACACATACAGATATAAACAGTGCGAAAATCAGTGTCCCAGCTCACAACAGTGCCAGTGGGGCAGTTTGTTCAGAGCTGCTGTGGCAGAAGGGACAAAACTGCTGGTGTAGCAAGCTCTTCTCCATTTTAAAGTCCTGTGTTTCCTCCTATATTCTGCTGAGATTCTGTGGTCCATTTAAGACCTTTGGAATATATAGACCAAAGCTTGTAAGAGGGGCATTAAATTCTGTTTTATTCATCAATTTTTATATTGTTTTTGGAAATCTTACAACATATAAAGGCACTAGGGCCTAACAGTGTCTTGAAGTGCTGCATTGAAGGTGTAACTTTACTAGTATTACTATATTAAATAGTCAGGCCACAGGTTATTTGTTGTTTTGCTCCTCAAAGTCACAAAGTTTCACTGTGTAGTAGTCCAGTTCAGTAATACTGTGTAATTGCTGCAGTTTACTCTCAGCTAGAAGGGAGTACCAAATTCAAGAAATACAAACATACCTGCACGCAGGAGCATCAGGAGGAAGTTCTGTCCTCACTTAGCATGTCAGTCAATAAATTACTCTGATATTTAATTTTTTATGTCAACACATTTTTATCATACATGTCATTCCAGTATTATACTATTAGATGTTTTATATATATATATATATATATATATATATATATATATAGTATATCACATATTATAGAAGTTTAAATAATGTCAGTTTATATTCAATAAAAAATACATAAAGTATAAAAGACACTACCAAAGAGGACGGTCTGCAGCATTTCTGGAATTAAACTAGCAGACTAGGTCATAGTAGAAGGAAGAAGGTACATGGAGGTCCCAGGGCCCGAAGGTAGACGGCTTACTGAGTCAACAGAAGCTATAAATAAGTGTGGAAAAGATTTCAGAGGTCTTTTATAGACCCCAGTGTCTTAAGGGAAAGGATTCAACATATTAAAATTTTATTTAATTCAATAAAATATCATTGTGTATTATTAAGTTTGTTTGTGTGATCATGTCCTGTAAAGTCTGTAAAGTCCTTTCCTTTGTTCAATAAACATGAATCATCGCATTGCTTCCTCTGATCGTCACAATATTACACACATTACATTTACATTTACATTTTGCCAAGTTGATAGCTCATGTAAAAGTGTAACAAGTGCAGCAGAGCATGATCAAAAGTTGCAGTGTAAATTAAAGGAACACAGAGGGGAACAGAACAGTTCAAAATATTTATTTGAAGTACAAATATGATGATACCAAGGGAGGTCAAGGGAGAATTACATTTGTTCCAGCATTTTAAATTAGTTGCCACAACAAGAGGCACAGACCCAGTGAGCGTACAATGAAGCTGTCTACGTTCAGGGCTGCTGGAGCCGAGTTTCTCCCTGCAGAGGCAGACAAACAACATTTATCATTACCATATAAGCATAACATAAAAATTATATCGGTTAGTGGAAACAAGAATTACCATAATAAAAGTATATGTGCTCACAAACTCCTCTTCAGTTAAATAAAATAACTGTAACAGACTAATTTTATCATCCTCATTTTTTTAAGACACACCTCTTTGTTCCAGCAGGACGTCTCCTTCATACCGAGCCAGTCCGACAGCATGCCTCTGCCCGGGGTCCAGCTCTGCCCACTGCTCCTTGGTGACAGCCCACGCCTGCTCCACATTCAGCCACGACAACTGAACCGCACTGAACACCACCTGTCAGACACACACCCGACACAAATAGCAGCGGTTATATTATATATGTTCTTACAAGTGTCCACAGTTTATCTTGTATGGTTTAATTTGAGACAGTAAGCTGCTTGCCACATTGCTAATAAGTCTTTGAGACAGTTATCCCACTGTTAACGGTCCCTCTTCTGTATAGTCCAGTTTATTAAGATAATCTGACATTTTGCCTTTGGTTTACATGTAAAGCCAGTTTTATTATGATTTAAGCAGTTAGCATTTTACAGGAAAAAAAGGCCAAAACATGTTTGTGAGTTATATTGTCATGACCTAATTGCTGTATTTCATTTTAATATAACTTTTATATAATACTAATATAACTAGCTAAATCTATAAACTCATAGTTTGAAAAATATCTTTTTATAGTTGTTTTATTCTTTACTTTTACTTTTACTTTTTTCTTTACTTTCTTTACTTTATTTGACAAGGACAGTGCATATTAATAACATTTCTGAAAATATGCCAGTTAGCCAGAGAGGCTAATTTTCATCTATAGTCCCTGACCAGGCAACAGTTGAAAGCACAGACCACAAGAATAAAAGCATTGAAAATACAATCAACACAAACAAAATCTGTACTACATAGAGCAGAAAGACAGCTCTTTCGCACATGATCAACAATATCATGACAATAATCTACAGATAACATGACAACACAATTTTAGGCTCGGTGAAGTGTTCATACCATGAACAAAGAACATAATAAGCAGTAGCAGCTTCGACACTATGCAATGACAATGAGGACAGCAAGCAACATCATAACACGCTATTGTTCTAGTGTGATTTCTAATCAACCAGGCTCTTAATGTTGTGGAGAAGGGATGGTAGTTGGTACACATTAGCCTGAAAAAACGCCACTAAAACCATGGGTGACACTCACTGCCATCTTTTGTGGAGACATCTGGGCAATGGTTTCAGGGGTGATTCCCTCCACTTGTTCTTGTACCAGAGCAGACAGCACCATGTCCTCCAGGCCCACTGGACAGAGACACAAACACTGTAGTCAGATAATTCATGTTTCTTATATCAAATCACAGAAAAGCCTTTCCTATACTTCTGTACCCTCTGGGATATTTTTAATTGTACCTATCCATCCAAGAGCTGTCATTTCCTCCTCCCTCTTTGGAAAAACAATTCAAAAACATTTGATCGTAAAAAAAAAAAAAAAAACTTTATACCCCCAGGGATATTCTGTTCTACGGTACCTGCCAATGTCCCAATTTCAGTGAAAACTTCTGGTCCCCAAGCGCTGACTGGACCAAAGGCCTCAGGTCTGGACAAACTGCTTGTCAACGCCTCCATCTGCTGTTCTGTGCATGGCAGGGACATCTCCCGCAGGAACAGGACAGCCACACTGCAGTTTAAGGGAAAATATTCAGGACTTTATCCTCCTCTGAGGGTATGCTAAATGTTTTTATGAGGTTTGTGCTGCTGAGAAATGTCCACCAGCCTCCTGTTAGTTAGCATCTGTTAGCAAGTGGATGTGAAATCAATGACTTATCCTCTGAAACCACAAGAAAGCAATTCTATTATGGTATTGGAAGGATTCATCACTGTTTTACTGTTGCTAATTACTGCTATGTAGACGCACAATGTACTTACTACCTTGTATACAACGTATACGACCCCTTTGGCCTGTACATGTCCATCTTTGTTTATGGTCATCTTCATTTTGATGCCATTTATCTGACATATTGGATACTTTTGCCATGTCTGCAGCTCTGTTGGTTGTCTCATGTTGCTTTGAAAACTAACTTATTACATTGCTGATTGTAGCTTTTACAACTATTGTTAAGTGTTGTTGTGCTAGAGGAAGTTGCATAAATACACTTATATTTATATTATATTGTATTTGACTGACCTGAGGTTATAGGAGCTCAGTCTTTTGATCTCTGAGGGATACAGGCCACAGATCAGATGGCCAAATGTTGCCAGATCAACGGCTGTCAACTGTTCCACTTTCAGTTTGCGTTTCCGTATCGCACCTAAAATCACTGCTCTCATCTGGAAAAAAACAAATATAAACATTCAGCCCACACTTATAGGTTCTGAAGTTTTACATCAGAATGAAAGATTCAAAAGTTCACCTTTTTAGGGCTCCAGTCTGTCAGCATCCCCAGATGTGCCAACACACCCAGATCAGTGAGATTGGTGTCGTACAGCTCTCTTTCTCCCATCTCAGTCACCACTGAGCCCAGAGCCAGCACCTGATCTGCTCTCAACTCTTTCACCGGACTGAAAGACTGGATTCAGTGAAGAAGCAGAACATGATTCAGCCACAAGATTATTTTTGGGGTTTGTATTGCCATTCAACTGATAGTAGCAGCTTTAGAGAAACAGGACAGTGGGGAGAAAGAGAGAGGAGTGACATGCAGCAAAGGTCCACAGGTTGGAATCGAACTAGAGCCGCTGCAATAAGGACTCAGCCTTTGTACATAAAGGTGAGCTACCAGGCACCCTAGGTCAGCCACAATATGTTGATATTAAAACACTACTCATGTTTTACACAGCTGTCAGGGTTGGAGATGTGACTGCCTGTTCATTGTCCCTACCTTTTATCTTCAGGCACCAGTGGTCAAATTTTTATTACATTTTTTATGGATGAATTGCATTCTGGGAAGGGAAAAGACTTGCTACACCACAAATTATATTTCTACTTATTGACCCAAACAGTGTCCGAATAATCCATGGGAGAGGACATCTTGTATTCTTACTGATGAGTTTCACAGACAGACTTTTACTAACCTGTCTGAGTTTGACCCACAATGCTCGGCGCTGCTCAGAGCTCATTGAAGCGTCCTGAGCGAAAACTTCTACACACTGCTTCAGATCTTCCTGTGACATACGGCTGAGCTGCATTGAGGTCCAAGCTGAAGGAAGCGTCCCTCTGATGTCTGCACAGCTTGGAACTGGCACTGCTCAAAGAGACACCAGTGAATTCAGATACAAATGTACAAAAAGAAATGACTCATACGGTTACTGTGTAGGTCACAGGTAGAGTGGTGCACTAAAACAGTCACTAGATTACAGAGAAGATTTTTCCTGCAGATAAAATTCATTCGACACAGTACAACAACAGCAAAGTTATTGGTGATGTTTACTGACCTTTTGCCCTCCTGCTCCGTGCTTTGACAATCCCTCGAAGTAGACTCTGGGTCTGCTGTCTCTGACGATGCTGGTCCACACACTGAGTAACACAGACTCCCCCCACCACACTGTCCTCCCAGCGACTTTGACTCACCAGGACCTGCTCCACTGTGTCTTTATTCAACACTGTCTGCACAGGGGGAAACACATTTTATATATTCATGCTTGTCAGGATATGTCTTAAAAAGCCAGTTAAGTGCAGCGAAAGGAATTATTTGCATGGGTTGATGCGTTTTGAGCGCTTACCAGTGGGATGGAGGTAATCTGCTTTGTTGAGAGGGAAAACACCAGCCTGCCCAAATGTTCGACATCCTCTACTTGCCATTTGGATGGCTCCCTGGCATACAAGTACACATATCTTCACATTTATGCTGTTAATGTAATCCATGTCTAACTGCAAGCACAATGCTGGAATATTCCTATCAGGCATTTTATGTATTTTAGATTTTTACTCTATTACTACTACTACTACTTTTAGTGCTATTTAGCAAACGGTAGTATGTTTACACACCAAACTTAAACATTGAATATGGTAAACATTATGTCCTCTAAACATCAGCATGTTTGCATTGTTATTGTGAGCATGTTAGCATGCTTACAGTGGCATTTAACTCAAAGCAATGCCATTAAATTTGTTTGTAATTTGTCGAAATATTTTTTTAAGATATATTAATCCTTAAAATGTTTTTCAATCATGTTTTGCTTATGTGTGTAGCCAGTAAATCACTTTAAGAGAAATAATGATTAAAATTAATGTCTCAACATATTGTTGACCCAGGTGTCATAACCAGTGTTCCTTTACCCGAGCAGGTCTTTCTGGGTGAGCAGGGCACTAATATCTCTCAGAGCCTCTTTGGGAAGGCAGAAACTTCTAATCTCCTCCAGCCGCAGTGCCAGAGCTCCTCTGTCCACGAGAGCCAAACTGTCCCGGTCCAAGAAAGGCAGTAAAGGCCCCAGGATGTCCAGAGTGGTGCCATTAATCTCCCCCTCAGCCTGAGAAGAGCCCTACAGAGCACCACATACAGTCAGTGGGCCTGGATTACTGGGATTTCACACTGATATGACTTCACATGTGTGAAAAGCTGTTGAGATGATGAGGCAGGTTATGTTCAGAATCTCCATCTGTTTTTCTCTTTGTGTATGCATGCTTGCTTGAGAAGCCTGAACCAACAAATGCAGTTTGCTCTTTCTGCCCCAGTAATGTGTTAATAGAAATCAAATACATGAGTCACCATCACTGACACAAGCCCCGATTTAATTGAACCAGAAACAGCATCTCTGAGTTCCAGTTTGCTCTGAATACTCATGGTGCCAGTTTATATCATTTTAATTAACCCGAGGTTAATTTCTATTTTAACTTAATGATGTTTATAAATTACATGCAGTAACTGGTTTCTGGTCCCTCTTTTCTACCTAATATATGCAGAAATGTGTCAGATCCTCATCATGTAAGGATACGCTGTTAGTGCAGTATTTGTGTAGTTCATGTGGGTATTTTACCAGTTCAGTCACAGCTTTCTCTGCTAAATTCATCTGCTTGTAATGTGGCAGCCTGAGGAAATCAGCAAAGTGTGCCTGAATGTGTTCCAGAACGGCTCTAAACGATGCGTTAGAGAGGTTCTCTATCATCGTCACACTGGAAAAGAACAGAGCAGAGGTTTAAATGTAGTCATCTCTAGATAAACTGTTAAATATTTATGTAAAGAGCAGAATACATGTTTGATAAGTAGATACTTACGGTAATGTTGCAGCAAAGCCAGAGTTCAAAGCACTGAGGTCGAGTTCAGGTTGTTTCCGCAGTTCATCCACGATACATTTTCGCTGGTAACACAGCAAAAACACATCTGAGAATTAAACATTAATTTATAACAGAAACAGAACCACAAACTTATGAATCGTGCTATATCATCATCTCGCTATAAGCGGCTGTGATGAAGAGTTTGAGGAGTATTTGCTCCTCACCAGAGCAGGTCTCATGTCTCCAGGCAGCTCACTAACAAACTGTAGCAGCTCTGCAAAATCTGTATCATTGCTCCAAAGCCTCAAAAAATCACAACTCATTCCACTGGCAATATGACCCAGATCCCTACAATAAAAGAGAGAAGGAGATCATTATTTACATTGTTTACTGAGTGATTATCTGAACTGAAAATCACTGTGATTGGATCAGTTTGTTTGGAGTCTTTAATTCAGTTTGCAGGTAAATTGA